GAACAACTTAAACTTTGAGTGGATCCCAGTGCACCTATTTTTTGATAAAAAATATCAAGTTCAGTGGTAATTATACAATTGTGGAAATTTAGATGATATCCCCAATAATCAGCCTTTCTAGCTCCTCCTGCATTATATGCTTATCTGAAAACTTTTTCCAAACTAAAAAAAGAAAATGAAAGGAGTCAAATTATTATTAGAAACTTCTTTTTTCTTCATTAGAGTTACAATAATGGTGACGATGATTATCTTTTATTGAGTGTGACAGGTGCTATTGTTGATATTTCACAAATATCTTAGATCGTCATATCAACTATTAATTATTATTGACACTTTATATATTAGAAACCTAAATTCAGATTTTAAGTGATCTGCTCAGGCTCATCAGTAGAGCAGGTACTAGAGTTCAAGTTTTCCTGATTCCAAAATGATTGCTACATTCTCCATCATGAACCAACTCCCCTTCCTTAGATTCTCATTGTCACCCCAACATATCCATATCCCGAAGTTCCACAGGGTTTTTATTCATCTCTAACTAGTTAATCTTTTTGCCTTGCGGTTTTAGTGAAGTGGCCATTCTCATTCCTTGGCTGAGATACTTACGGGCAGTGCACGAAATTATTAATCTTTCTGGTTCAACAACTTAAGTCTAGAGCCTATCACATCTCACATCAGCAAATAAACACCAGGGAGGGGAAAAAAAAAAGAAACACACTAAGCGGATAGATGAATGGGCCAATCCTGTGGCTGAGGAGAGTATTTCCTCTCTTTTCTTTGTTAGCCTAATAGGTGAGGATTGTGGTAAGAGATTTTAAAAGCACCTGAGAAAGCAGTGACAAGTAGTGACTGCTCTGAGTTCACATAAGTCTCAAGCAGCTTTGACTTTTCCCTAAAGAGTCAGGAGGGACCCTAACAAGTCTGGTTTAGATGGAGGAGAAGAGTAAGAAGGACCACCGGGCTCTGCTCAACCAAGGAGAGGAGAATGAACTGGTGAGTCTTCCCTTTTTTCGAGTACGGACTTCTCAAAGTATCTGAGGCTATGGGTAGGTGCAACTGTAGTGGTACTGGCTTTAGGAACTGCAGAGATTTAATTATTGTAAGGGGAATGGGCTGAGAAGACTGTCTTCTAGATGATGGAGTTCTTGCCAACCCCATATGCATCAGACAGAATGAACTTTCCTTCTTAGACATTTTGTGGAGTATTCAGTGTATATCCCACATCGTGCTCAGGAAGGGGTCTCCCCCTCATCATCTGGGTCTCCATCTACTTGGACAAACTCAAGCAAAACCTGAAAGTTTTTTGTTAATTCTTATGTTTTTGGTATATCTGTATTACTGAAGCTTAGTGTGCTTTGGGTTGAAGTTATGCTAAAAGTATAGAGAGGTTTTAAGCACCAAGTACTAAAAAAAAAGAACATTGTGGCCTGGTATTAAGTATATATATATATATATTTTAAAAAGTTTTCACTTCTCCAGTTCTCTTTCCCTACTGCCTCTTCTACCAAACATATAGCCATCTTGAAAAATAATCATGAAAAGCTTAGAAACTGCAGGGTCTGTTTGGGACTGACAAGTTTTCATTTGTTATTTTAATTGATGCTCAGAATTCAATGATGAAGGACTTAATCCTATTTCATAGAAAGAAATCTGAGATCGAAGAGGTTAAGTAACTTGTAAAAGGTCTTCTTCAGTCTACAAGGGACAGGCTGGAAATCGAGCCCCCTTCTCCTCCCTTCACACTCCATGCTATTCACACTGCAATAGTGTCTGCAGGTAGGCAATGAGAAAGGGAGAGAAGGAGAATGGGGGCCCAGACAGAGATGGAACACTGGAGACGGAAAGGGCCCATGAGATGTGGGTCACATAGCAGAAGGGTGTCAGTTTCCTGGTTGGTCTTCCAGTTCCCCATGAGATCTGTGGGAAATCCACACCCACCCTCTCTCCACACCCTTCTTTGTTAACCTAATAAAAATAAGTGATTTCACGTACACCGACACTGTTCAAGAAGGCAGTCCCTGGTCATACATGGTTCTTGAATACTAGCAATATAGTGGGACCAAAGTGAAATGTGCTCTATGCGTAACATACACACCAGATTTTGAAGATAGTGAAAGAAAAAAGAGTAAAATAGCTCATTAATAATTTTTATATCGGTTACACTTTGAAATGATAGTTTGGATATGTTGGGTTACATAACATATGTTATAAAAATTGATTTCATCTGCTTTTTACTTCTTTAATGCGTCCACTAGGAAATTTCAATTACAAACATGGTTCACATCAGCGACTTCTATTATCATACCACACTGATCTGGACAATGGTATAATGCTTCAAATCTTGAAGGGATTCAAAGAACTAAAACCTGTTTACCTGTATTCACTACTAAGCAGCTCTGTGCCAGTTTTGATGTTTTTTTTTTCCCAACATGTAGATGACTGCTCATGAAAATCTTTGGCCGCTCTTTATTTTTTCTCTAACTCTGTGATGTATTTATAAAGTCTGTAGCCTAGTATTTTAATTTTCTGAATCACATGGGGGGCATAGGTCTCTCTCCTTAGCCAGGCATGTATTGAGGCACACAGTGTGCATGTCAGCCGTTGTTTCAGGGTTCTCTTAGGCCATTCGTGCTGCATTTGCTTTCTAAAGGTGGTCTTGATTCTGCCTCTGAGACAAGAGATGCTTTGTTCACATGAGTTGCAAAGCCAATCTTTCCACTGGTGCTCTCCCCCTCTTTACTGACGCCTGCCAACTAAATGTCAACATTACAACTGGGAGCAGCTCCAGGGGAGGAAAGGGCTACTTGGTGTGGAAGATACAGTTTTGACAGGAGAGCTCTTCACTTCACATTAATTTGTTTTCTGCGAAACAGTGAAGGATTCCTGGACTCTAAGACCACAGATCTGGGCTTTAGTCAAGGACCTGCTGTGAACCACGAGTGTGGACACCTTTTGGGGCCTTGCTAGTTGCCTGAAAACAATATCACGTTAACCCCTCTGATTTGAAAGTTTTGCGAGTGCCATATATAAAATGTGGAAAGTGCTGTGAAAATATAAGGAGTTCATTTACATCCAAGGAGGCAGGACTTACTATGGGAAATTTGCAAATAGTAAGTGAAATTAGTATTGGAAATATCCTCCCTTTGTCTGATTAAACTTGGGGAGTGATAATTGAGAGCTACCATTACGAAACCAAACAGTATGTGATGAATTAGTAAGAAAAATCAGGAACTTGGAATGTCTGAATTATTTTAATATATTTTTAAAGTTTATTTATTTATTTTGAGAGAAAGAGAAAGCATGAGTGGGGGGAGGGACAGAGAAAGAGGGAGAGAGAGAATCCCAAGCAGGCTCCACACCAGTGTGGAGCTCAATGCAGGGCTCAAACCCATGAACCATGAGATCATGACCTGAGCAAAAGTTGGATGCTTAACCAACTGAGCCACCCAGGTGCCCCTGAATTATTTTAAACAACAGCATGTACTCCTCATCTTTAATTTCAAGACACACACACACACAAACCCTACTCAAAGGATTAAAATTGAAAATCAAAAATCACGCCCTATTGGCCTCTTTCCTGTCTTTTGTCAAAACTTATGTTAACAGCTTGGATGAAGGCAAGTTTATCTAATCTGTGACTGATGCCCCACTATGAGGGAAAGGTAACAATATAGGCGACAGAACCAAGATTCAAAAAGTTTTCTAGACTTGATTGTAAGAGAGAAATTGACAATGTGGTGTAACAGGCCTTGGTATTGAGTTTGTGTTTAAAGTTACTCTCAAACTACAAGGTGGGGATATCAATGACTTGGGCTTTGTAGCTATGCGTGAAAAAGTAATTAAAGTGCTTTATTTGGTCATGGCTGAATTTTTGGTTACCACTATGATATAGCTATAAAAAATTAGTACTTGGATGTCTCACTAGAAGCCCATTCAGCATAATAGAAGAAATAACAGTTCTATTATAATCTATTATATTTAGGAAACTTCTAGGGAGTTATATTTAATTCTAAGAATCAAGCAAGAAGTATAGTGTATTTAGAAAGATATGTGGATTTCACAAACAAGAATCATTTAAAATGGTGTAGCCACTCTGGAGAACAGTATGGAGGCTCCTCAAAAAATTTAAAATAGAGCTACCCTACAATGCAGCAATTGCACTACTAGGTATTTATCCAAGGGATACAAAAAGGCTGATTTTAAGGGGCACATGTGCCCCAGTGTTTATAGCATCACTAATAAAAATAGCTAAAATTATGGAAAGAGCACAAATATCCATCAACTGATGAATGGATAAAGAAGATGTAGTATACACACACACATGCGCGTGGGCGCGCACACACACACAATGGAGTATCACTGAGTGATCAAAAAGAATGAAATCTTGCCATCTGCAGTAATGTGGATGGAACTAGAATGTATTATGCTAAGCAAAATAAGTCAGTCAGAGAAAGATAAATACAGTATGATTCCACTCATATGTAGAATT